CGGTGTGCTGCTGAGACTTGGCTGGCCAGACTGTTGGCTAGTTCGGCTTCTTCAGGGCACTGTCATCCCACCGTTTGCGGGGAGGACCAGGGACGTGGGCGAGCGTCAAGAACTGAGAAGTTGTTCCCGGTAAAGTATTGCGCGCGCGTGCGTAAAGGATGAGGGTGTGATTCTGCCGTCGAACACCATCATGTCGGTATTGATGATGGGCAAGAAGGTTTGGTGAATTGCCGTTTGTGCTCTCGCTTACTCGTTTTTTCCCTCTCTTCCCTCTCGTCTTGGGCAGCCGATTGCATGGTTTGTGACGGACGCATGCCACGATTGTGCGCCCCATTAGCTCTACCGAAGCACGTCTACCTAGGTACCTAGTAGAGGCACCTACCTGGTAAGGGTACATGAGCCTTACCCACCTTGCGTTAGCAAGTAGCTTCCCCACCTCTCTGCCGAACCAGCATCACGTATTGCCTCATTACTTGTCACTCCTAGCCACCCACTAGACCCTGCGTGACCTGGGGCCGGCCAGTTCCAAAGGTGCTTACAATTACATTGAGGGGACCTTTCACTACCTATCTACCTAAGTACCTACCTACCTTACCTGTTCGTGCTTCCCGCCTCGCCCGCAGTCGCCGCCGCCGACGCCGCCGCATCCAGCCAGCTCAACCTGCCCGCCCGCCAGCCCAGTCCTCGAATAGCCTTTGCCATCCACCACTTGGGAATCTATCTGCCTCAACTTTCTACCAACGACCACTCTGCTGCCTTTCTCTGCCCGTCGGATTCCCCACTACACTGCGAACCATGGACAACTGAACTTGCAACTCACCCGACGTCGCCAACATCCTCGACCTCAGTCCCCCTCCAGGCTCTTGCGACTTTCGGGCTTGTCTCCTCTACAGCCAGCGCTGCTGCTTCGGCCCCCCTCACCGTCGGGTGTGCTGTGCCAGGGTCTCCGCAACCCCCCAAGATGGAGCATGTTCACGGCGTCGACGTCAGCTGGATGACCCACGGCTCTCCAAAAGGTGACTCCCACCTCTCTTGCGGCCTCCTCGTATCTCACGCATCTTCGGGGGACGACTGACTGTCCTCTTCTATTGGGTCAATTTACTAATTGCGCGACTCATCAATTCCAGACAAAGGTGCAAAAAACACCACGACCCGTCCGATCACACAGCAACAGTCTCGGGAAACCCCACGATCCTCTCCAGCGTCCGTGGGCTCTGACGCGCCGTCACCGACTTCACCCACTTCTCCCGTCGCTGCCACCAGCGGCAGTAGCACCAACGGCAACACTGTCACTGAGGATGGCGCCTTGCCAAAGTCCATCCCCACGACTCGACCTGGGGTGAGGAGAACCGAATCGAGCGAGAAGCCTGGCCCCAACGGCACACCCCCGCATCGCAGGAACTCGTGGTTCTCTAGCATATCCTCCAAATTCTCCTCGTCGCCGAATCCAAGCACCACGGCCCCCAGTAGCAGTCCGACCGCCCAGCCGCCTCAGACCACGCCGCCCAAGGACACTACACCAGCCCCGCCCAAGGCGGTACCCAGCAGAAATGCCGTCCTTCAGCACGCGACCAAGCCCGATGGCGACCTGCCCTACACACCAGCTCCTCCCAGTCGCGGCCAGTCTAGTTTCCTTGGTGTCTTCCGTCGTCTGTCTTCTTCCGGCGGCGCTCTCCACAATAGCCAGAGGGGCAACCATGGGCTGGTCGAAAGAAAGATTCTCAACGTCGACCGAAACCGGGAGCGCTGTGCTATTGCTGCGCTTCACCAGGCCAAGCTCCGGAGGGTCGCTTTCAGTGTTGACGTCGAGATTGCACCCATGCCCAAATACACTGACGCGGAAAATGGTGTCAAGTCGACGGTCCCCGCCGACAAGTCCACGAAGCGAAAGCTAACGGAAAAGGGTGAGGGCGAGGCGCTGAAGAACCCAAAAACGATCGAGGAACAGAAGGAGCAAGAAGGCGTCGTCAAGGCTACTGGAGAACAGCTGCCGAAGGAGCCTGAAAGGGAAGGCAG